TTACCATGTCTAATCCTCCACAGCAGTGGAGTCAGGTTAGACTTTTAGAGGTTTATTATGCAAAATAGCTCAGTAGATGTGGCCTGCTAATAAATAGTTTGCACACAAATACTGAGAGCAAACCAGCTCTCTTGAACCCTGTCTTTAAATTTGTTTTTTCAAGTATGGTGTTCCAGAGCCCTGTGTGGCCAAGTGATGACAGCTTCCAAGGGCTGGATTCAGCAGTCCATTTCAGCTGCTTCCTGGTGGTCCAACAGAGGAATGGATGGTCCAGCCATGAATGGAGGGTGCCCTGTTTGGCTGTTACAGCACTGCCCCTCGGGGACTTGAGGGAAAAGCAGCCCACCTTTTAGTTTAAAGGTTAACATAGGTTATTTGTACAGCAGTGCTGGTTTTCACTTCTGCTTGCCTGAGACCAGCCAGTTTTATATTTGGAGCATGCTATTCTACCTGCCTTCAAAGCAGGTGGAGCAACCAAGCATCCTGGACATCAAGCAGCATTCCATACAGGATGCTTCATGTATCTGAGAGGAAAGGGGGAAACAAGATGCAAATGTTTTCCAAAAATATTTTCTGTTTTAGGAGAGAAAAAAAAATTACTTAAACAAAAGCAAGATATCCATCTAATCCATCCAAGAAATCACTTTTAGTTTGAAACACTTCAGCTCGTGCTACTGGAAAACAAAGCGCTAAGATGAACAACAACAACAGCTTCTCCCTGTTTGCATGTATTACCAGGCCTCAATTTTCTCTTCAGCATCCTGTCCAACTTGTTTTTCCTTTAATTACTGTAAATCAAGCTTGCAGCCAAATCCTTCTTTAATCTGAGCAAAACTCACCTTATTGAGGACCCTTTTGATTCAGTGGATACCACAAAGAATAAGATCGCAGGAGAAATCTGATAAAATAAGTTTGTTCCATTGGCCCTTTTATTTTTTTTAACAGGACAACAACAAAAAAAAAAGGGTGAATTTGCCAAGCACCATTCCAAGACAGTGGAAAAAAACAGGTTTGGGGATGCCATTGAGTTCTACTTGATCTGTTTCAAATTCCAAAGTCAGCAGGCCTTTCTGTGTAGCTGGGGGCTTCTCCCCTTCCGTGAAGATGACTAGGTCACGTTACAGCCTTGTCAGTGCATGCTTAGTTCCCTGGCTGTTGCATCTGTGACCATTATGTCTCCTTCTGTTAGGAAGAAGCGGTAGGCAACCCCCTTTCACATCTGGAGTGAAGCCCAAGGTCAGTGTGTTAGGCAGCAGTTAGTTTTTAAGAAATACCAGATAAAAGGTAACTTTCTTGATATTTCAGCTTGGCCAGTTCTTCATCCCCCATTGTTTCTTCAACAGATTCTCTGACATTTTCACTGAAACAATTCCCAAGCTAATCCATATTTCCTTTGAATTAGAAGTGCTTTTCGTCTCATGGAGCAAAATGCTGAGTCCTGCCATCAATCCAAGTTGTTGCAGCTTTGTGTAGGGAGTTGGAAAGCCTAGTGTTTAAGTCTACATACGACTCCCAGTGAAAACCTGGAGTGCTTTGTTGAATAATGATATGCTAAGTTTTCATGGTTTGCACAGTCATGTGGGATTCACAAGAGCATAGAACACTTCAGTAACTCACAACAAGATAAATGGACTGAAGTCCCCCACAAAATCTTCTGCTCTTCAGGATTTTGTATAAAAATTTTTCTCTTCTCTTGAAATCCTTCCAGAAAATAAGAGCTATTTTACAAGAATAAACATATGACAACATAAAATTTATGCTTTTTTCACAGACCTAAGCAAAAGAATCTCTGAAAATCACTAGAGGTTATTTATTAGTATGCATACAGAGTATCCCTCTTTTTTTTTCCCCAGCAAAACTACTATTTGATCTAGATGAAAAATATATCCCTGTCAAGTCACCAGCAGTTTTTGTCAACAAGAATGTTCATTTTCTGTGCTGATTCAGCTCTATGGATATTGAAGCATGAAAGTCAGATGAGCATTTGCATGGTGTAATTATGATGCCAAATTTGAAAACTAAAATTTTTTGTTGTCGTGCAGTTACTAACTACCTCTGTTTCCTTCTTTTGTGTGAATTCTTTACATGCCTGAGTAAACATAGATAATATAAACATACATGGCAAAATAGGAGGGGTGTGAAGGGCTAAGCAATTATCCACTGTTGCTAAAATAAGGTAACACAGGCTGAATTCAGCAGGCAAAACCACCTCTCTGGAGCAACTCAGGAATTTTATCAGTTTCAGGAGGCCAGGGTACATCGGTTGGAGACCTTGTCAAAAAGGTGTTTAATGGTGACCTACTTTACCCTATCCCTTTGGAGGTGGTTGCTTTTCCTTGTTATACCTGTTTTTTGTCCCCTCAAGCTGCCTTCAGACTGCAAGCTGTCTGTATGGGTTGCACTGTTACTGAAAATGACCAAGCTCTTAACAGCAGTTTTCAGCAGTAGGTAATTTGACCTATTGTGTTTACTAAAGGAGACATCAAAGGATTCTCTGGAGCGCTTTCAAGATATATCTATTTTTATTACTTTGATGTAATTGATTACTAGCCAGATTTGGACCATCCTCATTCGGTTGCCACTCCAGTGCTTGTTCCAGGATGCAAATGTACTAAGCAAACCACAACCTTTGAGGAGTGTTTGGGTTTAAGAAAGGATTTGAGCAGTGTACCTAATAGGCTTTAAAAGTCGCTAGTTCAGATAAAATGCTTAAAGGTAATTACTCAAACAGGCCAGTTAAGGTGTTTCACAGGCTCCCCAGTATGGGCACGGCTGCTCAGGGGTCACAGCAGGCTGTGTTGGTTGAAGTGCAGGCTTCCATTCACCTGCCCAGCTACATGCAAAGTACAATTTTCACTGTTTGACTAGAGGTACAGGGAATGAGTTAGCCTGAGCTAATCAGGACACTCATGGTGTACTTCATACACTGAAGTGGAAACTGCCTTTTATCTCAATAGGTTTCCCTGCAGAGATCAGCCAGTGTTTCCAGAAGACCTGGGGCAGAGAACCTTGCTGAACTAGAAGCCCTAGTACCATTGATGTCACAAATGGCCTGCAGCAAACTTCTTCTCCTGACCATGCCTCCTTCTTCTGAGGCCATCCTGCTAGTGAATTGTTCACATATTTGTAGCTAAATAAACACCACACTTCAGCAGAGGCAGCAGGTTGACTTGCTGTCACTCTTCATCTAGAGTTGTTTTTTTTTCTTGACATTCTTTCTCTTTTTTTTTCCCTCCCATTGTGTTTTATACAGAAAAACGCCGTGTTTCTCTGGGGAAATTATTACAGTGTCTTGTAGAGTGCTGTGTTTTAATTGTTTGATGGTGTATTGACTTAATTTGATTATTTAAGAAAATAAGAAAGTCCACAGAAATACTTCAGGTTTTTTGTTTGGTTGTTTGTTTGTTTGGGTTTTTTTGTCTTTGAACTGTCAGGAGTATATGCTGTTTATTTAGACAAGGGATTTAACTAGCCAACTATTATTGGAATGAGGAGTCATTTTACTTTCTTTCTGTGCTTTTGAGCAATCTCATCTTTAAAGGTTTGCCTGATCTTTTCTTTGGTATGTTCCAGTTAACCACAAGGTATCCAAGGGCTTACTTAGACCTCAAATACCCAGGTAATTACAACCAAATATATCTCTTAGAAGGATGGCATATTATTCTTTTTTGCTGTCTTATTGTAATTTGGCAAAAAGTTTTGCTTACTCTAAGTCACCAATAGTGAAATTAGCCAGTTATTTCATCATTATGGTTAGGAGGATGGACCAGGGCAGTATTTCTGAGAAGGTGAGTTGTGGCAGACATGGTAGTAATGAAATATGGCCAGGTATTGGCAAGCCGCTGAAAATTTTGCAAATCATAAAGCAAAGGCTACCTAGCTTCTGTACTCCTGCTGACTTCTATTCTTCAAGGTCAAGCATGCTTTTCAGTTTTTCAAGAAATACTACATGGATTTGTAACTTTTCCAAGCAATAAATGTGAATGTTTTTATAGAGACAATGAGGACTTCAAATGTTTTGGTTTGTTTTGCTTTGGAAAATGGGATATCATCTTGTAAAAAAAAAATACCCCCTGCAAAATACTCTCTTAAGGAGTTGGTAGTGGAATCCAAGATACTAATTTTCTCAGTCATAGCAATTTAAATTCAAAATAACAGCAGAAAAGATAATTTCCTTCCTGACTACTTGGTGGCTTATCTTAAATGATTTTATAATCTCCATTTAGCTCCCATATAAGAAAAGCACTGCTACAATAGAAATGGAGGACTCAGGTACTTGGAGACTAAATTATACCCTTACCCATTCATCATTCAGGATATTTGACAGTATCAAATCCTGTTGGACAGGCAATTTGAGGGACTATGTGCATCAGTGGTTTCTACTATACTTGTTTCCTGAATAATCAAAACATTTCTGTCCATGAAACTGTCAAAGTAACTCACACAAAAGTGAAAAATAGAACCTAAACAAAATTAATTTAATTCCTCTTGGGAAAACATTTTAAAACATTCTTAGTGTTTTAATAAATTAACTATAGACACTATCACAACATAAGCTTTCAATAAAAGAAGCTTTCTGTTCTAATATAAAGGGATCTTTTCCCAGTCTCCAAAAGCACTCTCCTAGCATGTTGTTCAACATGAATGCCTCTCAATTATCATGTACTTTTCACAGCCATTAGGATTACATTTCCTTTAAAGTAAGTTCTGTAAATTTGGGGGTGATATGTTTATATCCTACATTTTGTGTTAGTTACTTTTTTCCCCCTTTGAATCAGCAGAGAAAACATCTAATTTAAAAAAAAATATTTACAGACCATATAGCTCTCTGCACTGGGCTGGAGTACATAATTTATATAAATTTCTGGCAATATCTTTTAAAGTAAATGAAGTAACTTAAAGATCTAGGGAATAGCCAACTGTGTAGATCTAGAAGTGCACTGTGCTATAACTGAATTTGGTCCAGAAGATGGGGAATGTCTGGAAAAAAAAATAGAAAGGAAAAAGCATTAGTAAGATAGGCATAAGTGAGGCTGTATTAATCTTATTTACCAGCTGTAATACTATTCCATGTCATTGCCATGGAATCAAGATAGCCACTTTTTCCTGGCTTTCATCTCCATCTGTTGAACATACACTTGTCTATACTAAGAGGCATGGTGTTTGGGGGCTGAGGTTTTTCTTTTGCTCCTCTTTACTCTTGTGAGATGACAGAGAACGAGTATGGGTTACTGTCAGTGCCAGACCTGGCTAACCTTGAAAAGGGGAAATCTCCTCAGTGCTGTTGTTGCACAGCTGTCTGAGAAGGGATGACAAACTGCCCTTTCACTGCAGTGTCACTGGGCACTGTGACACAGGTAGAACCCAAGAGCAGAGTGCAGCCCTACAGCAGGGATCACCTACTCTGTCTTCAGCAGGGAAGCTGGTAGCTCTTGTGTGCTATAATTAGCCAGTGCCAAAGAATGCACATTGCATCACAGGAATTAGTTTTGTGGCATTCCCACCTTTGCCTTCCAAAATGAAGGAAATATCTTTCAGTGACAGCTGTTATGCCAAGGGAGTAAAGTACTAAGGGAAAAAAGATATCCTCAGATATCTGGTCAAGAATAGACAGTCTTCACTCATCAATGCAGTTTAAAAAGGAAAGGTGAGTGGTCTGTTGCTGAGAATATACTGACATATATATATATATATATATATCTTCTTGTCCCCAGAATTCCCATTATGAGCACAGCTTGTAGAGTTTTGGTAGTGGTTTTACTTCACATCTGTTCATTTAACAGTGTGCACTTTCCAGATTATGTCAGCTTTGTCCTCTGTAGGTCCTTTAGTGAAGGGGAGAATGTATCTGTTTTCCATCACTGCAGCTTCCTCCCAGGGAACAATCAGGGATTTTGCAGTCTGGTTTATTGCAACAAACCAGGCAGAACTTGCTACAAATCAATAACATATCTGGTCTCTTATGAACATATTAGTGAATCCTAAAGATACTTGTTCTGATTTGAGTAAAACTTGTGAAATAGCAGCTGCCTGGAAGCCAATGAAGCTCCAAATCTATGCAAGTTTGTATGTGACCAGCAATCAGATAATTCTGGATCCTCACAAGCAGTACGTACTGGATCAGCTACTAGTGCAGATGGAAAAACTGGGTGATTTGTTTAATGGGTCACAATTTAAAACTCATTGCAATATCAAATTTACTGTGTACTTTCTTGTGCATTGTTAGTGTTACTTGACTGATGATTTTTACAACAGTTTCATGTCCATGTCATACAACTCGTTGCTTTTGGTCCTTTAAATAAATGCAATTTCAACTCAGGGTAAAAGAGTGGATATTCTTAGTTTCATCTTGTGCTATTTCTGCAGCTGTTAGAGTAGCTGTAGAAACCACTACCAGTGACAACCACTTCATTAAAAGACAGCTCCAGCTCGGAAAAACCCATACAATGTAAGCAGAAAGTAACTCAACTTTGGCTGGGGCTATCTGGGAAGTTAGCACTGAAGACACTTCTTTTTTCTTGAGCTGGGGATTTATTCAACTTTGTTTTACACCAAACTCATGGGTAACATTTCCCACTCCCCAGCAGTAGCAATCAGAGAAAGGAATTAAAGTGTTAAACCCATGGCTGAGGGATCAAAGCATGGCATTTTTCTTGAATAAATAAAAACAGCATCTACTGTTCTGTTCTCTCATGTACAAAGTTGCCATGTTGAAACCTGATGCAATTCTTAGAAATCTTGCAATTTTTTTTTACATTCTTGTTTGCTATATTCATTCTCTTCAAAATTAATTCCCTACAATCTCCAACAATAAATACCATTCTAAGCTGCAGGGATTTTTAAAATTCAACAATAATACATGCTGTTAGTGGGACACTGCTGTTACCTAGGCAATTATGATAGCACCTCCTTTCAAAACATAGTGGTTACATTGTAAAATTCTTGGACATTATCTAGATTAGAAAGTAATGCCATGCTCATTTAGTAGTAATTGTATAACATGAACATTATGCTATCACATGATTACCCCACTGATTTTCTTATAAATGTGATTTCTTTCCTTATTTTTCTCTCAAACACTTTGCCCACCATGGACAGGTAGCTATTTTCAATAAACACCAGCAGAAGCCACTTAAGGTGCCAGGTCTCAGAGTCAAGTGAAAGCACAACACTCTCAGCTTTCTTCTCTGGGCAACTAAACCTCTGGATGTAAAAATATGAAATAAAAACCTAACCTGTGTGCAGTGCAACTGCAAGTTGCTTACAATGTTATTATGCATAAAATACAGGAAGGTAACTGCATCTACGTGGTCTTATATCCAATTTTAAGCCAGTCTGCTTAGTTTTTCATATTCAGTTATTTAATAGCTGGATGTTGACAGTGCTGCATAACTAGCTGATGGAGATATTGCATGAAGTGAATCCCAGTTCCTACAGCTCTTTTGGGGTGTAATGATTTTGCTTGCTTTTGGGGAACTGGAAGAGAGAGAGATCTTTGCATACCACAGGAACAGCAGCTAATCGCACCCCATTGTGAAATGATTCAAATACAAAGGGAGAGATCTGGCTTCTTCCTAGACAGGAGATTTGTGTTTGCTGATCACAGAAGCCAGCCCTTTTAGCTGGCAGTAGTACTTTAGCCTGCTGCAGACATTATTCCAGGTGGTCAGTTTGGAAAATGGCAATACCAATTCCAAGAAAGTGGTTGAAACAACACCAGACATCCTCTTGATAGAAAAGCTCATTACAATGAAAGAGTACTGAGCAAATTACTGTGCTACTTAGACTTGTTTTACTGATGTAAGAATTGTGTCTGCTGCCTCAGAACCTTTTATCTTTTATCCTTACTGTTGTGTACTTGGTAAAATAATATAAATATATGTAAGTTAGAGATGTTCTTCTCCTTTGTAAATCTCACAGGTTCTAGACAGACTAGTAAATATTATCTCATTTTACAGCTGAATTAAGTGCAGAGGGAAACAGAGCAATTTTCAAAGGGTAGCATAAGGAGGAACACAAACAGATTCCTTTCATCTATCCTCAGTCTGTTGGACCAGGACCAACCAGCTTGTGGATGCTGAAGGCAGCTCTTATTTCTGCTGTGAGCAGGACCAGTGCAGCTATGTTGTAGTGACAAGAACAAATTCTGCCAAACATCATCTGCAGCACAAACTTTTCTACCATTCTTACCAAAGCACAGGCTGGTTCTCATTTGGGCAAAGCTTGGGGAATTCCATGTCAAAGACCTAAGATAGCCCTGTGGATGGAGATCTCTTCATGTGGGCTCCGTGCTCCATTTTATCCGTAATGTTCTTGCCAGATGAAAAATCCCAGTGATAGAGGATACCTAGTGCTGAAAGCAATATTCATCTTTCCACACAGGTGACCTAGGTTCTGTTTAAGTATCTATGTTTGAGCTTTTTCTGCAGCTCTTTTATTACAGCATCTTCTACATATCCTCCCAAGACCAGAGTTTCAGTGGCCAGATTTAGCATGAAACACACAAGCAGAGGCAATCTCTACTTTTTAACAGCTCACAGACTGAAACTAAACATACAAGAACTAATTGTTGCATATTACTCTCCCCACAAAAAAGTGAGAAAATTTTCCAGACACCAAACAGTATTGATATTTGAGTTGAAAAATACGCTGATAAAAGCCTGAAGAAGCAATCTGCCTCTGGAATAAGAATGTCCACAGAGGGTGTTAAACATGTGTAACAGAGGGAAGATGTCACACCTGCCTGCTAAACCTCCTGATGTTGACTAAGTTCTGAACCCATGATGTTGTCTCTAAAGATGGATTACTGTGTAAAACCCTGTTCTTTCCTGCAGGACTGAGCAAGCCTGAAGTTTACATTTCCCACCTTAAAGCAATCAGGAAGTCTGCAGCCAAATTGCAGAGTGAACTTGCATCTCCTGTGCTCCGGTTCAAACTGGGTTTCTAAAGACCACTTTTCACTTCTGCTTTGGTTAAGGACCTCATTCAGGTTTCATTTTCTTTATAGGCTTGCCATGATCTGTGACTTTCAGACTTTGATAAACCAAACCCATCTGTGACTCATGTCAGCTGATCCCTACACAACAGGAGGGGCACAGGGAGAGCAATTCCTCCCTGCAACATGTGCAGATGGACTTGCACTGTGCTGAGTGCAGCACTGATCAAAGGCAGCACAGCAGGACTCAGGAGCTTCCCCACAATGTGCTACCAGCATCCAGAGAAGCTGGAAGAGCAGAAGAATCTGGGGAGGAGGAGGGTAGGACAGAGGTTCTTCACCTCAGTGTGAAGTTGCTTGATTTAGGGCTGGAGTATTTACCTTATGTATTCTTCCCTCAGAAAGTCACACAAAGGAGGTCACATCACGACATCTGATGTATAATTTTTACAGGAACAACCAAGTGTTTTACTCTTTCATTATCTTGTCTAATAGCTGGCATCTGCCTAGACAAGAAAGAATCATCTTAGGACATCAGACACAGTCACTACATGAATAAATTTAGGTGAGGTAGGGAACTTAGATACTCTGAGATCACAGGAATATTCCCACTAGCTAAAGCTGATGATTCATCAGGAAATGTTAATGTAGGGCCACAGGTAGAAAAGTACTAAGCCAGAAGCAGAAATAAATTTGATTTATCCTAAACTTAGCTTCCCATATTTCCCAGCAGGAAAAGTAGACAGTTGATTTGGGTAGATATGGTGAGATTTCAGGGAGGAGAGAGAACTGTGCTTCAGTCAGGATCATGGAAGGTAGGAGATAGGTCTTGTAGGATTGTGCTCCTTTGGCTTTCCTGCTCATGCTCTGTGCTGTATGCTACTAGCACTTGATAGATTCACTTAAGATAGCAAAGCACCTTGAACCAAACGGTGTTGTCATGACCAAGGGACTAACATTAGAGTCTCCAGGTATGGATGGATTGTCTAAACTGACCCAGAACGGCTACATGCTTCCCACTTTTTCACCTACCTATACAGGGAGGATTGTCTGTGCCGAAAAATGTCCAGTCTCCTAGGCATAACAATAAAATAAAGTGAAAACAAACAAACAAACAAACAAATGTGGCCGGCGCGCGAGGGGACGGCGGGAGCGGCCGGCAATGGTGCTGGAGACTTTGGCCCGCATCGTCAAGGTCCAGCTGCCCGCGTACCTCAAGCGCCTGCCGCTGCCCGAGAGCGTCGGCGGCTTCCTCCGCCTCACAGGTAGGCGGGGGGAGCGGGACCCCCTTCCCGCCCCGGCGGCGCGGTCGGTCCTGCCCGGGACCCGGCTCTGAGCCCTCGCTCCCGGCGTCGCTCGCTGTCTGCCGGGCGCGTCCGGAACGGGGAACCCCGAGCCCTGAACTGCCGCAGCAGGAGGATGGCCCGACAGGAGCTGTGGGGGCCCTGTGGGGCGGGGCAGCTGTCGGGATGAAGGGCAGGGACAGAGTAAAACGTTCGCGTTGAAATTCCTCTGGGAACCAAGGCCGGTGAGCCGGAGGCCGTGCGCCGGCAGGGATTGGGATTCAGCCGGAGGCCTAAAGCACGGCCTCTTCGTCTTCCTCACGGGTCAAAGGCCGCATCTGTACCGAGTTAAACCAAAAAAATCTCTTTCTGGGAACCTGCCACATACATAAATTTCGGGTGGTTTTTAAATTGAGTCGGTTTTGTAAGTATGTTCTGCGTGAGGAGGTAGAAGCCCCGGTTCATTGATTGTGGCCCTGTGACAGTGACCAGCACAGGAGTGGCTGCGGCTGCCCGCTGTGGCGCTCAGTGCGCCGGGGCTCTGGGCCCGGGCTCGGCGGCTGTGTCCGGTGACAGGACTGGTTCGGCCACCACAAGGAAGGAACGCTCTCCACAGAAAGTAGAAGTAGAAAAAGTTATCAAAGTGCAGAATCAACCGTGTATCTTGCAGCACTAACACCACGACTGTAATAGTGTTGGAAAATGGTTAAATTTAGAACAGGCACAGTTTATTTAAAGCTGCCTTTAAGCGCTTCTTTTATTCCTAGCATGTTTATGCTGCCTGTGAACTGCAAGTCTCATTATCTTCCTCAGAAACAAGCAAATCTCTTTTAAAGTAACTGTTCTTCCACAAGTACTGCCTCATATGAAAAAGCAGTGAAAAAGCTGTTTAAAGCTACAAAGTTGGGAGGTAGTGGAGGATAAAACAAACTACAGAACAATGCAACTTCTCCTGTTTCTAGTATTTGGCAGTTTACTACTGAAGCCAATTGCCCTTGTAACCACAGCTTGACTTAAAATTTCTTAAGCTTAGTAATATTTTAGTATCTCACTGCTTCACTTGTCTAACCATGTCTTTCTGTAACAGGGTTTTATTTGTGGACTTTATTCTGTAAAGGATTTTATTTGTGCAGTTTTCTGTACTCATAATGCGTAGTAGTAATATGATTTATTCTGAAAACCTCTGGAAGGTTTGGTCTGTAGACCAAAATCAGGGCTTTGGGGTCCTTACCTAGTGTGATCAGCGTGGGAGAACTGTTTTGTTGTCACATTGTTTACCCCACTGACTTCAAGGTACTTCCTCGAATTTGAGAGAGGACAAGAAGCAAATAACTGATTCCTGAAGTGTAGACCAAACATGTGAAATGTCAGTCCCAAAATTACTAAACTAAAAGTAAAAAAATACTTTTACTGAAAGTAAAAGAAGGAGCTGAGTCAGAAACTGCTTTTGAGAACAGGTAGGATTTAAGGAGCATACCTGAAAAATCCACTGCTACTAGTTCTTAGTGATTTTTTGTATGGAGTCTAAAAACAGGAGACAAAGGTATATTTAAAAATACATCTAGAGAGAACATTTTTACATTTTCAAATTTTTTTTCAATAGTAAGCTAGACTAGTATCTGCTGCCATGCTTATACATCTTCCTCCTAGGGTGAATATGAATGAAAATGGAGGGAAAAAAGCAAAACTTTACAGATGCTTCAAGTTATGGCATAGAGTAAGTGCAACAGAACGAGAGTTTTGAGAAGGATTTTGTAGGACACTGCATCCTAGGCACCTACATTAAAAAATTGCCATCTCAGGGTGTAAAGGTTATTCAAAGTCATTGAAATGTCATTGCTCGTTGAAGAGTTGTGTGCTTACTTGCACACAGAGCTGCTGTCAGTCTTAAGTTTCATTTGAGAAAATGATTCTTGAGCAAGTGCTGCCTCTTCTGTGTTGCTCTGGTCTTTGTCCTGTCCTAAAGTTTCAGTCCTCTAAGAGCAGGGGATTCCCAGTCCTGGGGTTATTTTGCAGTGAATTATCATTAGGAAAGACTATCAGAAAATAGAGGAAATTAATGTTCCCTTCTGTGTTTGCTGCTATCACAAATTACAAAATATATTCTTTGGCAAATGGCAGACTTTGCTCCTTTTTGCAAAGTGAGAAGCAGCATTGGTCTAATAACATTTAAAGTGCATTAATATTTGCCCTTTGGTGGCATCTATTGAACTTAATGAGGGACCAGCACTATGAAACACTGGGCAACATAGACCTTGTTTGCAAATGCAGGCCAGAATCCAGATTTGGAGCAGTGCAGTCTTTTAACTCTTCCATTGCTTCTAAACTCTCATTAGCTTGTAGGCAGATGCAATTTCAGGTCCTGTAGTATATCAGTGGTAGAAACAACAGAACAAAAGTATATGGAGTATTTTGTTTTTTTATAGGATGTTGTATAGTGTGCTGGTTAAGGATCTGGACATGTGTTGTCTGGTGTGACCTTACAAAACCAGAATGAAAAACTGCTTGTTTGAAGAGAAACACTGTTAACATCCAGTGCACACCTCCTGAAGTAAAAGCAGTGAGGGAGGAAGGAAAGTATGTTTGACCTTGGGTTTGAAAGTGGATATCTAAATTATCACGCTGTGCTACTCAGAAGCTTCTTTCAGTGTCTTGTCATTGCTTCTTTAGTCTTCCCAAGTTCAGTGAAATGAGCAGTGTTATCTCATGCCAGCATTGCTTTTTGTCCTGGAGGGTGTCATTAAAATGGCATAGACATTCACCTCAAAATAGCAAACAACAAAACCAGGATAGATCTGCTTGTTAGTTCTGAAAATAATGTAATTAGTACTTCAAATTTGCATGAAGAATGTCATCAGTTTAGAGAATATACAAGCACAGTTCCAATATTCCTTTTGACTGGTAGTTAATACTTGTTAAAATTTTGATTTGCAGTTGCGCTGTTACTGTAAGAAGCTACTTTTGGGTCTGCATAGGGATATTTCCACAAAAAGTAGCTGAAAAATAAGTCAAAGGTACCAAAGGAGTAGTTGATGGAAGACAATCACCTGTTTTGATTTATTTCTCAGTGGCTGGTCTGTACCTTTGTTCATAGTGTATGTGTTTCTTTTGGTTTTGGATGTGTTACTGTTGGACTCAAAATTAAGACCACCTCTCCTTGAAAATATCCATTGCCTCAGCTTCTTGGAATTCTCTGGTTTCTGATATTTTCCAGGATTTATCTTTGGGATTAGTCTCTATCTAACACAAGTCTGAAGACTGACCTGTTCCATACACTACTCTTCATTTCTGTCTCCAAAATCTGCCTCTCCCCATGCAGCAGAACTGATAAAGAATCTCCAGAATCAGTGTAATGGCTGAATTCTGAATTGTCAGCAGTGAAAATAAAGTCTTGTGAATTGCCCTACATCTGCTTCTGAAAGGTATGCATGGCTTCAAAACCAGAGCAGTCCAGTCTACACTTGTAGGAAGGCATTGCATTAGTTTAAAGATCTCTGACAGTGTCTTGTATCTCATGCCTTAGAACATGATCACATTGATTTTTCAGTTTAAACACAGGAGCTTCAGGCAGTCTTTTGGCAATAACAGGCCAGTTTGTGATTAGTGTAGACATGAATGTAACTGGGGGCTTTCCAGAGATTCCCAGATTAGAAGTAAGCACAGAATTTACTGGCTAGTGAGGACAAAACTATTTATCAGCAGTTATCTTGGTACAAATATTAAATAATAACCATCCTAAATAACAGCCTTGTACATCCTATTCATGTTTATTTCTAATTTGCTTTCTCAGAGGTTACAGCTATCATGTTCCTCTTTCACTTGTATGAACCCAACTGGCTGTGAGCCATTCATAGACATGACCACTGTTCTGATTTTGATGCTGTATCAGAGTGTGAGACGTGTCCTTTTTGTGTGTCAATCTTAGCCCAGTTCTATTCACCACACACTTGACAGATGCCCTTGTGCTGGGGTGCCTCTTGGAATGTCTTTTCTGTCTTGGAGTTCAGAGGAGTAGCTTTGTAGAGATCCACATTTTTGCCAACAGTCAGATTAAATACAAAGTTTGGAAGTTTTTTTCAGTGACCAAATATTTTTCCTCTCTTGAAATACTTTCCAAGTCAGTCCTTCAGGTATGGTCAGAAAGTGTATTTGGATTCCTGATGGCATTGATGGAGTGTTCTGGAAAACTAATGCTAGAAAAGGCAAACAGGCAGTGCTGTCCAGGAAACACAGGATTCTGTATAGCTGAAAAAATTTAAGTATCTCAGTGTTAATTATTGTTTAGGACTTGCAGCTTGTTGGAGGAATCAAGGAAAGAGCTCCAGAGATTAATGCATTGCAGTGAATCTTAGTGAATGTGGTGAATTGTGATTTGTGGGGACTGCTGCAGGTGCAGCTAGGGAGTGACTGCTGAGACTTCTTGCAGTGCCTTTAGCATTTATGCAGCTGTGATGCATTGCCAGATAAATGCACTAAATGTGGCTGTCACATCTAAGGCAACAAAGAACAAAAAATTAATCCCACAGATTATTTTCATGACATGGTCTGATTCCAGAAAATTCAAATCCTTAAGAAAAATCCACTGGATTCTACTGGAGAAGTATTAGCGTAAACTTGTGTTTTACTAGTACAAATAAAATCAAGCTATACAGAATAATGTATTTTCTCAGGGATAAAACCCACCTGGCAGCCTTAGCCTGCTCTCTTCCGTTTTCTTTCTTGTATATCTTAATTTCAAAAAACAAATTGTAGAACAAAGTATTGCTATGTTCTAATCACAAATAATTTAGAAGAGCAAGTAGATTAGTGTCTTGTCTTATAAAGTGCTTGTGCAGCTATTTGTG